GATAGCGACATGTTATCCTTAACCTCCTTCGCGACAGCTGCGAGATTCGGGTAGCCCATACCACGAGCGAGCTTCTTGCAAATCTCGTAGCTGTGACCCGTCAGGTTCGCATGAGTTGACAATGGTCCCTTAGCGAGGGCTTGCACCTCCATGCGGTCCGCATCATGCATCATCACCATTAGGGCGAGAAGAGGTCGTTCATATAAGACTTCACAGCAATTTGAGCCTCGTCGACACAGTAAGAAACCCAAACTTACCAAAATCTGCTGGCAAATATGGCAGCGTGAGAACCATGTGATTGAGTGTCTCCATCGCATTGTAATGGTTCTGGTTCGTCGTATGGTTGCCGTACTTGTTATCGACCGATCGCGCAAGCTCCGTCCGGTGGAGGGTGTCGTACAAAAAGAAATGCCCGCCCTGGGCGACAGATTTGACGGGAGTATAGACAGCGTGCATCTTGCCTGGCGGTTGGAAGCTAGATATAATACACGTCAGCGACAGCGGATGACAAGTTGGAGACACATACAGTGCATCACCCGGGTATAGCACAACGACCTCGACATCGAAGATTTCAGCAATCGTCTTTTTCGCGAGATCAGGATGGGACTTGGCCAGGTCAGTGTCTGGCAGCTGCGATTCTGTCAGCTCTGGATCAAAATTCATGAGACAACAAAGATGCGACATCAACATCTTCTGCGTTGCGCGATCGAGGTTGCGGTGCTCATCGTTGAGATTGAAATAGCACCAGAACTTGACGCCGCTATGCGGAATGATCCAGGTGCAGTTTCCGTCCGAATCTTGGTGGGCGTAGGTGACCACCCCAGCCTGATGAAGCAGCACCCAACCGCGGTTCAACCAATTGTCTGGATGGACCCACTGTCCCGCGGTGGGGTATGCAGCTGCCGTCGTGCCCCAACCCTGCGCCAAGCCATCATCAAGGTTCCTGATGATATGTGAGACTTTAGAAATGAAAAACTAGAACATACCCACTCGAGTCCTTGCAGCAACGAGCGTGTGCTCAAGTTGCACGCCAGCACAAACTTGATGTCTTGTGTATCGTCAGCACTGTCGACGATATCATGCAGTAATCCATGTTCATAGGGTTCAGCCCAGCTGGCACAGCGTTTGCGAACATCTGATTCCTGGTTAGATTACTGACACGTTAGCAATGCAGAAACTCACTGTGAATGTCTACTGGCATGTCCGCCGGCAACGCATATTCGTTCCACAAATGTTCTGTCGTGAACTCAAAGTCCTTGGGCGGCCGGATCATGTTGCGAATGAGGCACGCCTTCCCTTCGCGTAGACCAGTATGGATTTGGCCAGCAACATCTTGGCTGGTTGAATTGATGAAAGAAAAATTGGGCGAATGCTCGTGCGCAGCCGGTCGCGAAGCGAGGAACTTCACAAGTTGGATGTCGTCTTCGTTGACGACGGCGGACTGGGGGTCACCAGGTCGAGAAAATAGTGTAGGAAGTAGTGTGCGGTGCCCCGTCAACCACTGCACTTCCTGCGCGTGCTCCGACAGCTGAACACCTCGGACATCCGTGACAAAATCCAACGAGCGAACGTTGTCCATCGAGTCGAGCCGATCTTGGATATTGTGAAGCAGCGCCTGCAACTTGTCGCGATTGCGTGACTGTAGATATTTGCGCAAATTCGCCGGCTCCAATATCGGCGTCAGTGGTGTCGGGGGACGGGAGGGAAGAAGTTGTCTGTCACGAACGAATATCGCATGGTCTTCTTCTCCTGCATCGAGTAGGCCTGCATTGTCATCGTGACACGCAGAACTGCTGCCGAAAATGTCACAGAGTGTAACGACGCCTCCCTAGAAATCTGGTTTTCCTGGGAGTTCACCTCCACGGACAATTGAATACCGGCCCAGTCAGACTGGTTGTTATCCGACTCTTGGATGACATCCTCCTCATCTGGCTCCGCCTCCAAGGATTGTTCCAACGAGATCGTCGAGTCCAATTCAATGTCACTGATACATTCGTGATCAGACGACTGCTCTCCATCCGAAGGACGCTCTTGCTCGTCCGAGCTGCTCGGGCTGGAGAAGAATAAAC